AAAATAAAATATTATATGTTACATAAAACATGAATTCTACTTTATTGTAAAGCGAGTAATCATAATATCATACTATTTTTTTGAAGCATTTAACTACGTTGCTAATGTCAGTGGGAACAAAAATAAACCAGTTAAAAACAGTTGGAAAGAGTGGAGAAAGGACAATATGACATATAAGCATGGAAAGCAATGACTTCGTGGTATATAAATAATATCGTGTTGTTATAATAGCTAATATCATTTACTTGTTTGTTCTAAATTATTCGAGAGTTTTTCTATAGCAATAAGATTTTCTCAATATATTTTGTTAATTTTTTTTTCAATAAAATAAAGAATGAAAAGCTAGGACTGATATGAGGATTTGAAATGGTGATTAATTATTAGAATTGAAGAATATAAAATAGACATCTTATCCTAGAAAAGAAATGAACTGAATAATTTTCAATTAAAAAAAATAACTGTGAAGTGAAATCAAAATATAGAAACTAAACCAATAAAATAATTTTGTGGAATAGATAACTATAAATTTGTGAGAAAGTTGATAAAATAAGATCAGCATCAAATTAAATTTCAATATGGTATCGATTGTTTTTTTTCTTTTTCTCCGTCAACGACATGAAGAAATCGGAGCAACTTTTAGCCAATTGTAAGCGGAAAGGTAAGACAATACGGTAGGATATAATTCAATGAGTGTGTGGTGCCTTAGTTTTTGAAGTGGCAATTTGAGTATGAGAAACAAGGAGGCTAATGACGTGTATCATTGGGTGCCATAACGGGAAAAAGGCAGAAATGGGAAAAGAGGAGGAAGGCAAGACAAGCGGGAAGCTTTTTTCCTCTTTGCAGCATCTACTCATGATTGATTGATCATTTCAACTTTAACTTCCACTCTTCCCGTTTCAATGCGCATATTTATCAAATCAATTTTACTCATTGTTGTGCTAACAACAATTATTGAAATTATAACTATAGCTACTATATTTATAATATAACTGCAACTGTAATTGTAATGTAACTGTAACTGTAACTGTAACTGTAACTGTAACTGCAGCTGTAACTGTAACTGTAGCTGTAACTATAACTGTAACTGTAACTGTAACCGTAATGTAACTGTAATTGTAATTGTAATTGTAATTGTAATTGTAATTGTACCCACAACATGGTTTCATTAACTGAAGCGGTAAAAATAGGAGAGAGGTAGTAGTGCGCAGCATGCTTCAGCAATAGCACTAACTGTTGTTTTTAAATACACAGCAACTGTAAGTTGCTGTGTATGTCTTTGTATATGTGTACATTAATGTATGTGAATGTGTTGCGTACTTTGGTGGTTAATGAGCGATCACATGCTATTTGTCAGGAAACGAGTTCACAACCCTGCTACTTCTCTACAGCATAGCAGCTACCTAACTATCAAGCTATACTTTTCCTTGTCCTTCTCTTCTCCATATAAACTTCAATATAATGCAATTATATTTCATAGTTATTTGTAAATTGTTAATGCTGTTCTTAATCATGTATCCTAACATTATGGATTGATAAATTCAAATTTGCAAAATAACAATTGCCTATTTCGAATGAGGATGAGTCATTTATGAATGCTTTACGTAAATGATTCATTTAAATTATTAATCTATCATCTTTTGAATTACAAAATGGAGTGAGAAATGTTGGTAGATAGAATAAAATAGAGCAATCTAATAATAAATCAATGAAAATGTTTCATGAATTCGAAATAGTAACCATTTTACTAGCATTTCATCAATGTAAGGAAGAGAAAGAAAAAATAGGAAGTGAAAGCTGTCAAAAAGTGATGATGATGATGATAATGCAAAAGGGAAAGCAGGTGAGCATTGTTCAGCTAATTGTTTCCACTTCCGATTAAAAACAAGTTTTTTGTTCTTTTTCATACCGAAATAGTTGCACTGGAGGGAGATCGAGAGAGAAGGGAAGAGAGCAAAATTCAAATAGCTCTTTCATCATACAATAAGGCTTTTCTCAGCTTTCCGTATATTTAGATTTGTATCTAACAGTAATATGTTCTTGTAACTCATTTCTTTAATATATCTTTCTTTCTTCTGTTTTTTATAGATATATCAAATTGCGGAATAATTTTTCATTTTTTAATAAGACTCTCCTTACCAAGTGTTAGCACTGATAATTTTACTGAAATTATAAACAGAAGTAATAAGCGTTCAGTAAAAATAAAAAAAAAATGATGAATTGATTTTCAATTTTTGTGAGGAATACCTCTCTTTTTCCTTTTTCGTCTCATTTTTAAGTATTTTTTTATCTTTCGTAATAAAAAGAAAGTAAAATATAAATTTGGTGACAAATTAGAATCATGACAATTATTGCAATTGTTTCATGCAGTAATCACATATATCTATCTCGTAGATGATCACAGACACAACAATAATATCATTACGAAAACTACAGAAATCATTCTAAGAGTTCATTTACCAAATATGCTATGATTTGAAAGCAAAAATGAAGCTTCCTGTAAACGCTTAATTGAGTTTCTCATACTGCTCATTGCCGCTATCAATTCATTTGAAAAGAAAGATTAAATATTCAAGTTAGAAAATGAATTATTTTAAAATGCAGTACGTCTTATAGATTACTGAAAGAATGTTTAACATTATCATTGTGCTTTAAGTGGAATGCGATGATTAAGCTAATCAGCATTATGATATGCTACCGTAAGCCTAAGCCAACACGTCTGTAGTGTATGGACTATGGAATCGGAACAAGCAGGAGCATGAGAGAAATAGCTGGTATCAGCAAGAATGAAGGAGAAAGATGTATATAGAATAGCAGCCAATGAGCAATCAAGGGAACTGCTAAATACTCTGAGCCAGGAAACCGCCAATAGATGACGGCACTGCTACTTTTGCTAATGCTGAAACAATCAACAACTGCTGTTGATGGAGGCAATTTTGATAATTGATTGTGTAATGATGATGATAACAATGATTGTTACACAAGTTAACAACAATGCTTTACTAATATGACAGCATACTTCAATTCACAGCCAACAGAAACAGGCAAAAAATTCAGTTACCCAATATTTATTCATACTTGACAATGAATAATCATTTAAAGTTCATTTCAGCATTAGTTTGAAAAATTTTTATAACAAACCAATTATCTTTTCTATTTCATCCTTTTGGATAATGGATTTAAGGTGGTAACAATTAATGTAGCAAGCAGAGAATAGAAAGTCTAAAACAAGTGTTACTTTCAAAACAGTAACATTCACTAATTTAACGATTTTTCATAGAGGCCAAGAGAATTACAATGACGTAACATTTTCAAAACAGTTTTTTCATTTCCACTTCAGTGATAAATGCATAAGCATAACTGGTCTCGAAGGTACAATCTTAAAACTAGTATGATCTAAAGCGAAAATTGGTTGGATTGAAACATCGCCTTCCTTGTATTCTTTATTCATTTCATTATCGCTTTTCTTTCTCGAAAAAAAATGGAGCAAGATCTTAAAACGAACTCAGAGTCTTTACATGGAAATTTTCAGAAGTGAAAAGCGAAAATCTGGAGTATATTCTGGTAAAACAATTCTGCGTAGAAAATGGATATGAGTTGCACTAGCTTTCAATAAAAAAATCACACATCATTTTGGAGAAAACAAACAAAACTCGTTACAAAATAACGGACAAAGAAGGAGAGGTATGAAGCGTATTTACATATTGGGGTCTGCCGACCTGGACGCTCTGATTCATGATGAAAAATCAAAAGAAAAATAAAGGAACAATCATGAACAAATCAAACAATAAATACTATAAATTATCACAGCATTTTTTCTGTCAACTATCTTGTCAACATATATTCACTTGGATTGAAATTGATTTTTATAGGTTAAATAAATAAGTTAAAGTAAATTTGCCGTCTCAACTATTCAGTAACTTAATACAGTGCTCCATTTTCTGCTGATGGTGCAAATTGCACGTCCTACAAAATAATACATCAGTCTGTCGGAAAAAATATATTTCATCATCCGACTTGTTCCATGATTCACAAGCTATTTAAGCAAGCAATGATTCAAGACGATACTTTCTTTCAAGCATAAGTATTATAACACTTCGACATCACTTGATGTCACTCTCTCATGCTAACATTGTAATGAAGTCTGAATATAATCAAACTAACATCAACAGAGATGATTTCTGACATTCGAGATATTCATTTGGAACCGAAACTTGACATTAGGAAAGTTTAAAAACAACAACGAATCTGTATAAAAATTCTTGAATGAATTGAGATAAGAGACGACAAACATTGTTTTATAATGTCCGTAATTTTTCAATAAAGCAACATTGATATTTTTAAACAAGTTTTTTGAATTTTGCTCTCGTTGTTAAAAAAGCGAAAGACTAAAATTGAGAGAATCAAAAGTTGGTTAGGCTAATAGACTTGTGTGATATAAGTAATGTAGGGCTTACGCTGAATGTCTAATACCTTGCCATTAAGTTATTACCAGATTGAGTGTCAAAAACGATAAGCCTAATTATAAAGATGCATGTTGCTGAGAAAACAGCTAATGAAGACATAGGATGAAAAGTCATACCACCTTACTGTGTCTATAATTACCATAAGCAACAATTGTTGTTGGATTATACACAATCTTGCGTAATACATTTACATGTTCAAAGTAGGTGCTGGCCATTGATTGAATGAGTAATTGATTGAATGAGAATTTTCTGATAAAAAGATGCATAGTTTAAAATGAATTAAATCTGGAAATACTAGCCAGTAAGAATTTTTGTTACTTCAAAAATATTGTTGAGAAAATCATAAATATTGGCATGACTAGTAGATGGCCTTGCATTTAATTAAACCAATAAGGATAACTTAAGAGTATACTCATTATGAGTCATGAGAAGAGAACAAACAATGAAAATGATAACTATTCAAAGGTTATAGTTCATTCTGAATGAAATATCAAAAACAACAATAATATATCGCTAAATGGTACAATATGTTTTGAATCAGGAAAAATTTGTGAAAATCTTTTGCTCTATAGTAAAATTATTATAGTAGTAGTCAGTAGTAGTAGTCAGTAGTAGTAGTCGGTAGTAGTAGTCAGCAGTAGTAGCAGTAGTAGTAGTAGCAGTAGTAGTAGTAACAGCAGTAACAGTTGTAGTAGTAGTTGTTGTGGTAGTAGTGGTAGTGGCGGTGGTGGTGGTGGTAGTAGTAGTAGTAATAGCAGTAATAGTAGCAGCAGTAGTAGTTGAAGCAACCGCGGCAGTGACAGGGATTTGCGTTATCGCAACACCTCTAGTACTAGCACCGTTCGTATCGATAGTTCCGGATACAATCCGAGCAAATGTTAATTGTGGCTTATTTGCCATAAGAAAAAATTCGGGAGTAATGCTTCGCTGAGAAAGACTTCAAACCTAAATCTGAAATGGAAAGAGTGAGTAACATGAATATCCATAACGTTAACGTATTCATCAACTTCCCAATTCTCTGGACTGTCTTGAACGTTTTCTCATACACTCAATAAGTACAAATCACTCGAACGCGTCAGGTAAACAGAAACAAGAACATTTTGAAAAGCTAATACCAAAAATAAGCAGAATCTTTTTTACATCACCTATAGAAAACACAAATCTCTGGTCGCTTCCTGTGGTCAGCGATCACTCAACCAAAGAATGCTAACCTTAATCATATTGCTTAATTCAATTCTGTGGTCATCAGCATTTCATGACTATATATGTGTAATATGAGCGTCAAATAATTGCACATAATGCAAATTTCAACACGAACCACAATAGCAATGGTACGAATTTTGCAAGCGGAAGTTAAGCGTGCAAGTACGACAATAAACAGCAAAAATTTCCACAAAAGCAATCAGTTACCTCACACCCTCTAACCTTTTCTCTCCCTCTTCTTCCTCTCTTTCCTCATACCTCTCTGAACTTCTCTTTTTCCCTCCCTCCGTCTAGCATTTCCTTCCTTCACCTGTCCTTTCCTACCATCGCATCCGTTCCCCATCTAGCGTTAGTGCTGTAACATTAAAACGTATACTACGTCAGATTTCTAGTGATAATTACATTCATGTCTTCTATGTAATTTCAAAAGAATGAAGATGGAATTACATTTAACGGATCGCGAAGAAAGCGTGGGGAAGTGAGGTGAATGATAGTAAGAGATGATAAGTACGTATTACTGAACTTACTATTAACATGGCTTCACATTATCCCGAAACGTACTTGATCACAGGTAACCCAACAAACCGAACACACGCCATCTATCATCTCTGCTCTTTCATAACCTATTCACTCGTCTTTCCCATTCTTCCGTGTCTCTAAAGATGAATCTGTACAGCGCTCCATCTTCCTGTACTCGTCGTGTACACACCTATCTTTCCTGTATTAGGGGCTTCGTGAAAAATCTACACACACACATACATGCACACACGCCAGATACATCACATGCAACGTACTGTACTTAAATACAAAATATACGTCACAGATTTTCACATATATATTATGTCTCTATGCATATGCATATTCACATACACGTACAAGAGATACACATACATACGTTAACACACACTACATGCATGCAAGCAAATATTACCTGTAGACGACAACACACATGACAGTCTACAGCTGTAATAGATGATTAATATTTTGGCAAAGTGCCCAAAGTATTATGGTAGCTGTGAGATTGGGAGTGAGAGGTAGTCAGCGCCAACGGGACGAAGGCTGAGGTGGGGCGTGATGTGAGGTAGTGGCAGAGGAGGGAAGTTAATAGTCGGTTCTCCACTTCGCTTAAAAATCTTCAAAATTGTAAAGACTGAGCTCTTTCCAACATTGGAAGAAATATGTCTATTTATTTATGAATTCCTGTAAAACTTCGTTTATCCATAAGTCCATTAAATTTTCCTTTTTTATTCCACTTCTTAAGCGAAGTATGTTCTGTGAACTCAGCAATACCGCAAAATTTATATCATCCATTACACCTTTTACGTAACATTGATAACGATAATATACGAAGGGTAATCAGTAATGGCGTCTCTCATTCTCGTTTGACCTGTATCAGAGCAGTTCAGGATGATTGCAAGAAAATATATCAAAAAGGGGAACTTACAAGCGCATTATAATTTCTCATTAAGCTACTGGTCTTACAAATATTGATTATAGTTCTTGTCACCAGTCACTATAGCCGTGTCTTCATTTCTTATTATTGGATTTATCGATGCGTGCTTCCAAATGAAAACGTTGGATGAGATTCATATTTACACTGGGATTAACTGGAAGTTAGCATAGAACTATTTGCGCTACATAAACTTGTTTTCGAAGACTTGTATTGCAATACATCCAACGATGTCATTGGCTTCTTTTGTTGGACATCACCGTTTATTTGAGGTAACATTAAGTGTCAACTATCGGTAAAGTTTTAAAATCAGATAGATACTGAGAAATCAATGATGGCCACCGGTTATTGGTTAAATTAACCGATGAAGGAGCACATTATAGAAGTTTTCACACTAATTTCGATAAACGTATTCTCTTTTTCAAGAACCACGGAGTAATACATTGTTATGTGACAAAATCGTATTATACAAAGTGGAACGAAGATGGTTCATTGATAGAACAGTTGTAACCATTTAAAGATCTTACGAATAATATTTACTTGGATATTTTCGTACCGATCGTCTCAGTTCAGTTCCTATTAAGATTCTTAATCAGACATATTTCTAGTAACATTATATCTGATGTTATCGAGAAAAATGGAAAAAGAAAGTCGTACTATATTGTTTAGCGGTTTACTGTCATATTAATGTGCATTATAATTTGAAAATCATTGAGGGCAAAGAGTTTTTCCAGAATTTCGAAATGGCAGATGTGTTTGCCTAAAGCCTCATCCGTTTAAATTTTAGCATTTTTTAGGAGAAGATATTCAACAAATTTCACAGCAGTTTCACAGAGTAATGCCAGCATTCAATTCTTGAGCTGCTTGTTTCCATACTTTTCGATCCTCTTTTATCCAGTATCTATAATGAAAACCTCTATTATTGTATGCTTTTATATTACATTTCAAACTTAACGAATTCTAGGCAAGAATGCTGTTCATGACGTGCCTAATATTGTTTTCCAGACCATCAGTTACTGTCGACCATTTGGGAATTGATTCACAGTCCTGTATATTCAAACACATGTCGAATATATCTTCTAGTAACTCTCGTTGGGGCCAGCGTCTGCAAAAAAACAGTATTCAGGTCAACATGACGCCTACTCACTTCCTTTTCACTGTGATATTAAGTTATTTTAACTCTTTTAAGCAAAAAAAGCTTTTTATTGAAGAAATAGCAATGAGATGAGTGAATGATGTATGGACGCCGAAGTTTGTGTTTTGTTTAGTAATTAAAATTCTATATTAAAATAAAAATTCATCATCGTTACGAATGATGCAACTAAAACCAAAAACTCATTAGTATGTAAAATTGCATTGTTAGTACTAGTAATTATTAGTATATTTCCTCTGTGCTATTGATATTGCTCGAGAAACCTCATATTTAGCATTGAAGATTTTTTAATTTTTAAAGATTCAAGTTAGGAAAACGTAATTGAGCAACCTTTTCATTACAGATGTCGCGCTGTATCGTCCGGTAGTATTCCGGTACGTCTTCATATACTTTCCATACATTATAACATGAAGTGTTGAAATAAAGCCGTAGAAATCTGTTTGGTATGTCCACGGCCGACCATCCTGAATATTTTTTATAAATGATTCGAAATAATGATATCGTTTGTTAGACATCGATGTATAAAATTTGCTCAAAAATATGCAGTCATTTGCCGAAAATAAAACCTTACCTGCATCTCCGAACAGTCGAAGGCGACCGTACCAGCTTTTCCTTGGAATGTGTGTCCTTTCAAGAAATTCATATCGATAGCACGTCCCCAGTCAATCAATTTCAACGTAAAAGATTTCTTGTCGAAAATTTGTTCTAATGTGGCATCTTCGTTTAATCTGAAGAATCACAAAGTTACACAAAGTGTAATGAAAATCCATTCATATATCCATAAAAATTATAAGTAACCGGTGAAGGATCATAAAGTTATCGGGTTTAACATCGCCGTGTATTATTTGGGCATTATGAACTGCCTCTAATATTCGTCCAATCTCCCAGGCGAGGTAAACCGTTAAGAGACCTGAGCATGACATATTCTTCGATTGTAATTTATTTATCATATCCTGAAAGGTTAACAAATATTATGGAAATCAAGTGGAAAAAAATGCAAAACACATCCGAGCTTCGTAAAATAAATTTAGAAAATTGTATTTTAAAAACTAAAAGTCAATTAAGATGAGATTATGAAAAGGTATACGATTTTAATGGAAATGGAAGAAACGCACGAGGAGATTCCCATGCTTGTGATATTCATAAACAATGGCACTTGCATTCGAAAATAAGTATGCATCGCGGATAGTCATTATACCATCCAACATTCCTTTCGGCATTCGAACACGCAATGTTTCACAAGCATAAACTTCCCACTTACACGGTGGCATTTCAAACTACAATAAATCAGTGTAAATATTGCAATGAACAAAACAGCCGGAATGATGGAAATATTCAGATGGATTTTCAATTATCTTTTATAATCGAAAATCTTAATAGTTAAAGATATTTAAACTAAAGCCGTTATCCTCCAGATTCTTCCATAAGACTAAGTAAATACAGGAAAAAAATACCTTCACCGCATAAAAGTTACCGTCTTCTGATTTACTCTTGTAAACTTTAGCGAAACCACCTTCGCCGATCAGACATTCAATATCAAAACGTTCACCTCCTAAAACTACAACAGCACCAGGACTAAGGCGATTGCATCTTTCCTGTAAAAAAAAATTAACTTTCTTTTTTATTGCAGAAAATTTTGAAGTCATTTCAAAATATAATGAATCACATAGCAAGTACTTGAAGAATAAAAGCAGTTTATATCCATATATAATGTGAATTACCGCGAAATCATGAACATTTGTTGGACAGAAATGTTGGCTGGTCATAATTTTGTCCCGTAATTTTTCATCCCAAGGATTTATTTCGGAGTCAGTGTGCAACCTATAATGAATTCTCTTTCGGTATAATATTTCCATGAAAAAACTATCAACTTTATAAGTAACGCTGTCCATGTACTTTTCAAAAAACCCGCAAAAAGATGCACACTAGCCTCGATCCTTTGTTAGTAATTTCATTGGAATCCTCGTCATTTGGCGCAATCGAGAGTCGACATAGTCCCTCACTAATATTGTTGGTAACAGCCAGTCCCATTTTCTTACATCCGACAATATTCTCAACACCAATTTTTTGTGACAATTTTGTCAAAGTATTCTGGCGTTGCTACAAATGAACTGTAAATTTAAGATGAAAATTCTTACTCTCCCGTTGTATTCCTTCTACTGTAATCGTTTTCGCAAATAATATTAAATTAAATCAAAAAACAAACTTCGGACATACTCATTCGTCTACCAAAAGCAGTATTTGCAATAAGAGCTTCGTCAAACATCGGTTTTTGGAAAAAAGGATCAGCTGCATTTGAAGGAAGTGGACGAAACGATTCTAAATATGTATAAAATTACATTAATTACAAAGATCCCATGCTGAATGAATGATACCAGCTAACCCTCAATCGGATCTTCGATTGGAGGTGCGAAATCATTTGCTGGTGTCGATGTCACCACTCCTGTTTTAACCATTTTGTTCAAACCTGCCAATGTTTCCTCATCAATACGATCAGGGAGAGGAGGTTTCACTCCTAAAAAGCACAAAACCAGAAAAATTAAATTTCATTTTTAAGCGTTGGTCTTCAAATTCTCGCGTGGATACCATTAAAACACAATTTGAAATATTACGACTAACCCACACACTTCCGTTTTTCTATCTCTGTCGATGTTTCGTTATCATGTTCAAATGATGCAGTTTCAGTTTTCCCCAAAACTGATGAATGACGGATGTGAACAGTTATCGCAGGCTATAAAAC